CAACGGGGTAACATTTCCGCAGCTAGGCAGCTGTTGCCTTACCACACCGTCGGTATGCAGCAATAGCTTGTCCACTGACCCCCCCCTCCAACTTGAAAGGGCTCTTTTGCCACAGTCCTCTGGTTTGAGATTTCGCGTTTAGCCTGATTGCATGTGATGTGTCTCTGCCTCACAGGACTTTTAGCCAAGCCTCACGTGTGATGGCTGTCAAACGCATCGGTCTCAGCTCAGCCCAGAGTCTGAGGTAGTGTTGGGGTAGCTGGTGGAAGAGAGATTCCAGTCAGGAAGCAGAAGCCGCAAGGCAATTCGCACCACTGAAGGTGTCGAAGAGGGAAGGTTCCCAACTAGAGATCTCTTCTTGGAATCTTCCGTTTCTGTGTTTGCCGGTTTTGTAGTTGCTGTTGTGCCCAAAGGTGCTGGCCAACGCTGACAAATAGCTGTTGGCTGGCAAACTCTGCACACAGCCCGCAGGAAAAGTCATTGTAGGGAGCTGAAATAACCTGCAGGACTACCAACGCTTGAAGGTTGCGGGAACATAGTTCTGCACCTGCAGGGACTGCATGGTTTGTAAACGGCAACTTGAAACCCTTTGGTAGGTCAACACACCTTGCAGCTACTTTTTTTAGAAATTCCGGCAAAAGTCGACAACTCAAAGTCCAAATCATCAGAATCGGCATTTTGCAAGCAGTTCTAAAACCACGATGGATCCTGATTTTCGGAATTCCTTGCATCCACATGTGACCCAATATATGCGGCCTAGAACTCTAGCAGAAACCAAGCTTCACGCAGGATACTCTTAAGCAGCATTGCCTTAACGCGCCGAGGTCCCGAAGGCCCTGCTCTAGGCCGGCATGTTCTGGAGTTGGAGGATAGCTTGTAGGAGATTTTTTTGTCCAGGCCTTGGGGTCAGGGTGTGGGGTAGAAGGCTTGGATGCTTCATATGCTAGCTGGTTCGAGGCAGAGGAAGGGCATTGAATGGGCATGTTTTTTTTGCTGAGTGCATGAGGTCGATCGCGTAAATGTAGAGGCCTCATCTACCCTGGAAGAGCCATTTGGTCAACTATGTGATTGTTCCTTTTCGCTTAGAAATTGTTTGGACCGTCACGCAAGCTTGTGCCAGGTTTGCTTGCTTTCCAGTCTCGTCGGGCTGTAGTCAGGCGGTATGTCGTTGTTCGTGCAGCTGCCACCTTTTCCTGCCTGATGCAGGTGTGCAGCTGAGGCAGGACGCTGCCATGTTCTTGGGAGTTTGTCCGAATTTTGGGACCTTTTGGGACCTCATGTCTGAAGTCCCTCCAAGGAGGATTGAAACATGAGAGGCCTAATTGTCCCTTGGTTCTTCTGTCTGCAAACCCAAATCCAAGGACCTTTTTTTAATCCTTCTAACTGTCTAACTCATTACCCTCTTACAGGGACCTACCCCCCCATAGAGAAACCCCGCATCTCTTCCAGTGTACCTCCGTTGGACGCACTCCGTCTGCGATTCGCAGAGCTGGCGCCGGGCCATGCTCACCTCGGGGCGGGGCGGGCTGGGTGGGGGGGGGGAAAGGGTTGAGGATTTCAGGTTTCGTGGGGAGCTTGCTATGGGTTAGAGTTCTGGCAAAAGTTAAGTCCGAAGATATTCCTCTAAAGCACGCTGGATGCCTTCATAAGGCTGGGGACATTCAGGCTTAGGATAATTGGTGGGGCAATTTTTCGAGGTAAGATGCGCGTCGGTAGCTGTTGGGATGCTGACGAGGATTAATGAAGGAGGTTGAAAGATGTTGCAAGTGGGGAAGGTAAGAGTAGTGCTACATCAGGTGAGGGCATAGACCTGTTAGGAGGATTGTTCCCTGGAAATCCTAAGCCCCAAACCTTAGGCCGTGTGAACCATCGGTTCACAATGGGTCAGGTGCGATTGCATCGGGAGGGTTGGTGAGTTGCTGAAGCTCAAGTGTGCACATCCTAAAGCTTACGAAGGCCGAGGATATCGAGCCGTCTAATTTTGGACCAGCAGCCCCAAACCTCAACCCCAGCAGAACGCCCAATACAGACAGGGGAGCAGTTGCTAATAATGGTGATCCTTCTTTGTCTCTGGAAACTTTTTGAAGTGTTCCTCAGAAGCATAGAATCACCTACAACACCACAACTCGTGAAGCCCACAGACCCCAAACTCTTCAACCTTAGACCCTGGTACTGGTAGTTATGACCCTTGTGGTTGATTACTCTTGGTCTTGGGATCCTCCAGCCCAGCAGGTTCCGGATCCCGTGGACAGTGCCGCCTGAGCCTAAGGTCTATAGGTCCCAGCGCACCGCACCAATCGATGCAATGTAGTCAAACCGCAAGATTCCACCTCCAGAAGGGGCTGGCTAGTAGAGAGAGCCTGGAGGGATTAAGCTGCAACTTGAAGTAGTAGGTACCTTTGGTAACATCTATCTGATTTTGATAAATTCCCTTTCCTTTGTTCGTGCCTCCCCAATCTTCAACTCACCAAAGTATTCACTGAACAAATCAAAGGCATCAATGCTGCTGTACGGGCAAGCATGGGCAGGTAGAATGGCTGCTGATGCTCGGCTCAAGCAGCCCTAGTTTCAGGTCTTTCATAGTGACCGAGGCTGAGCTTTGGCAATCTTGTTGCTTTGCCAGCCCTGGCCCATGCATCAGAATGTTCACCCGCGCAGCTCTCCTGATACTCGGCCAGATGCCCAAACATCACAGAGTGATATTCTATGCTGCAAAGCGCAGGGTGCTCATGCAATTTATAGGAAATGATGAGGAAACAAGAATCGCAAAGATACGAAGAACACTACAAATTTGAGGACAGTAATAATGTTAAAGAGAACCTCGACGATGCCGGTTGGGAAAAAGAAAGGGCCAGACATATTGTTCTTTTTCCGTCAGCTTGAAGGGCTGGGCGGCTTTCAACACCTCCTCGAAATTCCTGCAGACGCTGTGAAGCAAGGATGGTGGCCCTGTGCCTGCTCCGCTGTGGTAATTCGCTTCGTCCACATGAGGATCCGGCTCCAGAATCTCCGACAACACCGTCGCAGACTGAGGTGCCGTTGGGTATTCAAGCCTTGCATGTGTTGCTTTGCTTTCGTATTGCCCCTAGGGCTGCAACCCCGCGCCATGAGTGACGAAGATTCTCAAAGTTGGGGTGCCTCGATATACCACCAAACGACTGTGGTCCTGGTTGCCGGGCTCCCCCCAGATGGCAAGCAAGCAGCAAGCCATCAACGTGGACCCAAGACGCTTGCGCAACTGACAGAGAGGTGATCATGCACCCACAGGCTCATGTCATTGTGCCATGAAACAACAATCCACACACGCAGACGGATCTTGTTAAACCCTGCCGCTCTCATCATGCGAAGAGATATTGTAGGATGGCTGTTGGCACCCATCTTCCCATGAGGCATGGAAATGGAAGGATACGGCGCCAGGAACATATCGTTTGTCCACATGTATTGTTAGCACCCAGCCCTGTCATCATGCGATAAGATAGAATCAGATAGAAATGAGGGATCCAATTGTCATGGTACGATGAGAGGACATTGGTTTCACGAATAGCTTCTCAGACTGTGCAGCAGGATGCAAAAACGGCTCCTTGGGTTTTTTGAAGGTTCTTCACTTCCCACACACGCCCTTGCCATCCGTGGCGCTCCACAGCATCTATGAATCTATGAGGGGTCAGGGCATACCTTAAACAAAAATCCCCCAAACTCCTCAACCCTAAACCCCAGTCTCCCAAACCCCCAACTACAGAGATCGTAATGCATAGGCAAAGGGGGAGCAAGAGGCCGCCAGTGAGAAAAAGACTGCGCAGGCGCTGTGGCTAAGGTCTTGGAAAGACGGCAGTGGTGGACCTGAGCAAACGCGAACAAATGATAAAAGTTTGGATTAGGTAGTGGCAGTTAGCCACCGTATTTGGCTTTTGCAATATTATCTGCAGTATGGAACGCCGGTGTTGGCATGTTTGCAGCATGGACGACAATTGACAGGGGGCTGTTGCAGTCGTGCTTGGCAACGTTGTTATTTTTTTCAACAACAACAACAACAACTGCTACAACAACAACTACTACAACTAGTACTACTGCTACTACTACTACTACTACTACTAATGTTAGTGCTACTACTACTACTACTACTACTACTACTAGGCGGGTGCCCCTCACGGGACCCATCCGAAATGCATGCGCAGCATCGCTTGAGTATGTGCAAGTGGTGAAAGTGCTGGCAAGGGTAGGAAATTTGGCGTTACGGCAGGAACGCGCCGGAGTCATGCGTAACCATTTTGGTGCTCAAATCTGGGCACCGAAATGAGGTTTCGGGGGTTAAAGCTGAAGTTTTGCGGTCTACTGCGACGGGCTTTTCTTTCATTTCGAGGCGTCGCAGTGGCAGAGGACGGCAAAAGTCTTGCTGAGCATTCCACTATTTCCACTGGAACTCTTTCAGGCGCTGCTCAATCGCCTTTTGGCGCTGAGCTGGCGCACCATGGGGGGATCCTAAGTCCATGAACATACCTACTCAGTTGCTCGCGTAGAAACGGCCTTTTAAGTTTTGTTCTATGCGTGCAGGGGCATGGCAGCAGCAGAAGCAAGAGTGGCATGTGAACAAGTCGTACAAGAAGAAATTGAGGATAGTGAGACACGCAGCCTTGACCTTTACAGTGTTGGGTCCCAACGAAGTTCACCCTTCATCCCCCACTAATAGACTTACGGATGTCTACGCGCGCAGGAGCATGGCAGCGGCAGGAGCAAACACAGCGGCAAGAAACACTAAAAACATGAGTCCAGTAAGTATGTTGTCGGAGCGGCGAAATTTCTCCCCACCCTAAAAAAGTGGGTCCAGTCAGGCGCAGAGGCCTCCTACTACTGCTGCTACTACTGCTACTACTACTACTACTACTACGACTACTACTACTTCTACTTCTACTACTCTAACTATTATGGGTATTGTTATTCTTACTACGATTATTGGTACTGTTATTTGTATCGTTATTATGGATGTAAAGCGGGAGGCATCGATGCAAGCCACAGTGCAGCTGGCCCAGTTGACTAAGCAGCTGCTGCAAAGCAAAAACAAGAGCGAGATGCAGGCTGTGGACGTCTGCAACAAAGGGTGACCAATTTTTTCTAAATGCTTCGTAGCACATTACTTTGCCTTGAGTCATTGGTGACACCTTGGTGCCTTAGAAGCAGGATTCCGCCTCCGCTACAATTCCTTGGTAAGGCAGAATCCCAGGGAGACATTATTGAAGCCCACCCTCCTCAGCATGTTAGATGGAAAGGAGCGGCCCCAAGGACATAGTCTTGTAAAGCGCATTCAGTGACATGAAGATAGCATTTTTCTAAAGTGTGCGATGAGATGGTGATACATGGCGATCCACAGCCCCATCCCACATTGTGTTGGTTGTGCTGGCACCTGCCCTTCCTGTCATGCAACGAGGTGTCAATCAGACATCTAAAATAACCATCCATTCATCGTATGCAACGGGACAGAAAGACATAGTGCAAGAGAGATCGTGTTAACACCCACGCCGCCTGTCATGCGATGAGACGAAAGGGTAGAGCCTTCAGGAGGTTGTGTTGGGCTTCGGATTTGTTGAAGCCGGAGGGACTGTACAGGTGGATTGTAGGATTAAGTAGTTGTGGAAGAACTGTTTGCTTGCGGGTTAGGTAGCTTCAATCTGGTGTTGCTGGCAATGAAGGACTCAAAGAAGGAAAAGGAGTGGCCGTGGTACAATCAGGACTACCAGCGTGTGGCCCTGGCCATGGTAATAACGGGGTTTGTCTATCTAGTGACTCTCGGTGGCCTCAGTCAATGACAAGAAGTACATGTGCTGTAAATTTTCCCGCGCTGAGAGTCATTTCTCAACACGTTAAATGTTTGATAGTTTGTTTTTTGAATCCGTGGAGATTGTGCAAGTGCTATCTCACCCAGGACTTATGGGTTCATTCAGATGTCTGCAGAAGTTGCTGTCAAGAATATGCGCGATCCGTTTCAAAGCATCGCGGATGTGAAGGTGCCGAGTCGATACAATGGAGACACCTCGGGATCCTGCAATACATTTGAAGAAGCTCTGCGGGGATTGACACCCAGCCAACAAACCTTTTTTGAAAGCATCATGCAGAAAGCATATGTGCTGCAAATCGCGGGCATCAAAGAGCAGCGGAGGAGTGTAGGATGGAAGTGGGTTGAATGTATTTGTGTGGCCTTGACGCCGATTTACATCAGTGTGTCAGACAGCTTTGGCGGGGAGTTCCAAGAGCCGATCAAGCTGATGGCAATCCTCTGTTGCTTATTCAGCATGCTCTGCCGGCTGTCGCCGCAAGGGCGTGGGGAAGCTCTCCTGTTTTATTCCGGCCTGTTGCGAAAAGTTTGCTGGTCATATTGGTCTGTCTCAGGGGTTTTTCAGGATGATGCCGTCGGGCTTGAAGATGACAAGAGGGAAAAGGCACAGAAATTCTGGACGGAGATACGTCAGAACAAAAAAACGCAGCTGGAACAGTCTCAGCAAGCGGGGCAATCTCATTCAACTGCGGGAACAGAAGATCCAGCAAGTTCTGTGAATGGGACAGCGTATGTGGACTTCTTGCCTGATTATCTCACAGAGACAGAGATTGCACGTGCCGTTCTTTTTCAGAAGTTCGTCTCAGAGGTCGAGGACTCCCCAAGATACCGTTCCACCCTGGATTTTCGGGCCTGTACAACATCACGAAGCCCGCGCATTCCACACACATCTCCACCATCCTCATATTATAAGGGACATAGCCTCCCAAACAGTGATTCTGATCTTTGCCGTACTTACGACCAGCGCCAGGCACCCGCCAGAGAATCACAACATGACATCAGCAGGTGGTGGAGAGCATCGAGGAAGGCGAAGATGAGCTGCAGCGAAGCTACGGATCTCCAGGCACCGCTCCCAGAGCCAGCGGCCCAGCATCAGCGGTCCGGGCGCTTTAGTGTAGGGTAAAGTTGAGGGGTAGAGTTACAAGCAAAAGGCGCGATGCACCATGTTTGTTTCGACTTGCGTGGCAATTTTGATTTTGCCGCTGTGATGACGGTAACTGCATGTATTCTCGTAATGAAATAGGCAGGCGTAGCATCATTTTTCAGCTTGCGCAGAGGTCTTCTCGATTCCAAGGTTATTCGCAGCAAAGATAGTGATGAGGAGGACAAACAAAAAGGACCTCGAAGGACGGCAGGCCCGGGCCAACCTTTAAATCTGATTGCTATCGTTATCTCATAGTTGCATTTGCGATTGGACGTCCTAAATGGCTACTAGTGGGCACATCGAAACCTACCCTTGAATCATTCCTAAATCCTGGGTTATCGCGTGATTTCTAAAAAGGAACCTATAGCGATCTGATCCATCGGCGATACTAAGCAGTGCACACACCACTGAAGCCATTCCGTCAGATGCCATGACATTTGTCGATGGACAGCAGCGCGGGATGCGACACGAGCCTCGGGTCCGCTTGTTTGCCCCTGTGCTCTCGGCTGCTGCCGATCACTGGGAAAGCCGTCAGACATATCGAGGGTAGTTACATGCTCTGCTTCCAACTTGCGGTGAACTCCCACAATCTTTCTGGAAGCTTGCAGGCCATGAGCAGACCCAAGCTCACCATGCAGGAGCATTTAGGGTTTGGGTTTTGCGATGGCTTCAGGGTTCGAGAGGCTTCGGGGAAGTCGATCGAGGATGGATCTCCTTGGTCAAAATGAAAGAGTCTAGAATTCTTTGTGTGTCCAGCCCTTGCAACACATCGTCAACAAATGAACAGTAATTCAAATGGTTTTTTTTTGCGCTTGCTGCAGTCTCCAGAGGGTAAGCTGAATTTGGCTTCAGTCATTGTAGTTTTTTCCAGTGAGCAGTAGCTGTGGCTCAAGTGGGCTTGGTACAGTTCCCGCTACCGAGTGAGAGCTTGTAGTGTTCATTTTTCGGAGACTATATTTTTACAGGGCTTGGCCAACAAAAAGAACTGCTCACAATTGCTTTGATGCATGTCCTTTTGCTGGCAAAGTGACCTGGACCGACCACTAGAGGCGGTTTGGGATGTCATTTGGTGGTTTCCCAAAATAGGGGAACCCCAATATAGACCCCAAAAGACTATAGTCCTCATTAGGGAGACCCCCAAAAAGGTACCCCAAACTTTGAGAAACCCCTATGTCTTCTAGCGGCTTTCTCGCCCGCATGGCCACGGTGTCACGCATCTCTCATGTTCGAAGACTACATTCCGTGCAGGCTTGCGTGCTGCTTCTGTGGTGGGTTTACCAGAGCTCAAACTCACAATTTCAACAAGCCTCCGCGCTCAGCTACATATCTCAGTTGTTCAAAGCAGATTGTGGCTTGGGGGCATTGGAGGCTTTGTCTCCCCGAGGAATGAGACTTTAACTCGCAACATAGTGCATGATCACCTGCGACTTGTGGGTAGTGGTTATCCGTATGAAGCGGATGTTGCTAGTACATGCTATTACTGTAACTACCGGCACAAAAAATTTAGACTCTGGGCGTTACACCATACCCTGCGTTTTTTGAGCTACAAGCAGAAGCGCAGAGGCAACAAAGGCGGCAGCAAGGGCTACAGCCAATGACCTCGAGGACCCAAGATCGAGCTATTGCATGTACTTTGCGATTTGGTGCTTACGATTTGGTGTGTTGGGGTTGTGGCGGTTCGGTTCCGGGGTGGTGGAGGGTGAAGGGTGCGGCTTCACAGTTGTTAGTATGTTCTTACTGCCTGGCGCGGATATACTTACTTTCTTCTCCAAGCGTGTCGTGTTGTGGCAGCTGCGAAAGTTTTGCAAGCCGTAACGGGAGCTCTAGAGGTGAGTGGAGGCACATTGCCTCGAGGGAGGGTAGGAGCACAAGAGAACTTGGAAAGTTCGTCGAGGCACCAGGTGAGGAATGTGATTTGCAGGTGATGTACCTGGTTGAAGAAGGTTTTGCGCGGCTTCATGGATGGTCACGTGGCTGTGCATCTGTTCAGGCTCTTGAGTACGTAAAAATGCTGAGATCTTTTGAAATGCAGAGGGAAACTGTGCTCATGCAACTGTAACTCCTGGCCGCAGAAAACGAGCGACCTGGCTCATAATCCCGGGCTTATGAAGGTGTGCAGTGACGGCCCCACCAACAGTTGCGAGGAAATGTGAAACATTCCAGACTTATCCTTCTGCTGTTTCCTTTCATGGTGATCTTGTCATTCTAGACGAGTCATGGAGCTGGGTATTTGATGGTTTGTCTTTTCAGCTCAGTGGTTTGCAGCCAGGCAGAGGAGAAACAAGCCCAGGTTTCGAGGAGCATTTCCCATTTCAGCTTTCCTTGCAAGTGCTGTGTGTCAGTTCCCCTTTTGGGACCGCACCGCTTCTTGGGGATACCTGTGATAGGTTGGGGCATACAGGGGGCCTACTTTTGAGAAAGTCCTCCCATGGCAAACCTGGAGTTAGAGCGGTTTGTAGCCCAAGACAAGATTGAGTAGTCCCCATCTAACCCAGAACATGGACCTATAGAGTTTGCATGTTAACCCTTTTTGTTCCAGGCTCGTGATGCACTGACTCGGACTGCTTTCAAAGTCTCACAAAAGACAAGGCCCATTCGCAAGAAAACCGTCGCGGCATGCCCTTCGAGCTCAAGCAGATTGCCGCATTACGGCAGGTAGTATAATACTCAATAATGTTGGGGTTATATAGGGATAATGGCAAAGAAAATGGAAAACACTAGAGTACATTATAGACCCTAAACCCTCAGGCAGGGAGCTAGCACCTCTGACCTTCCTTGCCCATGTTATTGCCTCCTGGGATGGGTAATTACACGCACGTCCCAGCACCTTGCGTTGGAGCCTTTGTTGCTGGCACTTGGCAAAACACCACAGACAGCGTGTGATTACAATCGCAACCATCTATAGAAGAGCAAAACCGCGCAAGGTGTTTGGGATTCGGGTTGACACTTGACCCTGTCTCGAGGCCCGAGCGTCCGACCCGAAAATGCGCTCAAGTTTTTTAATACTTATTCGTGGTCAATAGGGGAACTAGGACTTCTGTCTTATGCACGCAAGCCGCAAGCCACACTTATCGCCAAGAAGTCCTGTCGTGATCACAGTGGCCAGCGGTGTAAGAAGAAGACATCATCCTGCCAGTGAGGAGGTAGATGCGCGTGAGAACGTCTCCCTTTTGGAATCTCAGGGTCGCTACAAGCTTTTACGGAGAAAGTGGAGGATTGTCCAAATTCCAAGTGACCCCTGCAAAACAGGAGATATTGCGGCGGTCCAGAACTTGACTTTTTTTCGTAGGAGCTAGCCAAAACTTGCGCTATCAACTTGGTGTAGCAGTCCGGGCATCGTCCCATCACAGCTTAGTCCTGAACATCAGTAATTAGCAGCCTCATCAGCATCTCCTATCTGCTTGTGCAAAGCGTGATTCCCAACACCTTCACAGCATTTTTCTAGCGTCTACCGCCTCGTGGGCTGTTGGGCGATATGAACTATAGAGTGTATACGTGGCACTTGTGCGCGAAATTTCGTGATCTACGCTCTTAAAACGCAGGCTCCCGTGGCAAAACTTCCCCCCAGTCCAGTATACAGCGACTAAATAAAGCTGCAAAGGCAGCTGCGGCACGACTGGAGCCTGCACTTCGGAGCCTCAACCTTGAGGCCGCTGGATGGAGCATGGGGTGCAGGGCTTCAGGTTTTCGAGTTTCGAGTTTAGGGGTGGAAGATTCCTGGATGAAGAAGAAGTGCTTTCAAACCTTAAATTTGGAGCGGTTGAGTATTTGCCGGGCTTGAGTTCAGCATGCATGTTTGGAAGTTCCCTCTGCAGTTTGATTTGCAGTGCCCTCCCGAACTGCCAAGCTCTAAAGCTCTGAAAATCCGAACCCCCAAACCCATCAAACCCACGAAGCCCCAACCCAAGAACCAAAATAGCCCTTAACCTAGTGGTGGCTAGTAGGAACAGGAGGCGTGGACCCTATAGTAGCCCTTAAAACATCATCAGATAATACTTTCCATTGCGTTTTCCACTCCAGACCCTGAACCCCATGCTCCATGGTACTTTCCATTTTCTTTTCCATTATCCCTATATGGGTGGTTGTCATAATTATGGTCCTTTGTTGGGTACCCTAAATATTAGGTGCCGTATTATAATAGGGATCAAAAAAGGGACCATAATTTTGACAACCACTCATATGACCCAATATATACCCTATGATCCCTATATAATCCCTTCTAGTAGCTTCCATTTTCTTTTCCATTGTCCCTATATAACCCCAAATATAACCCCATCTATTCCCTAGTTTCCATTTCATTTTCCATTTTCTCTTCCATTTGATTCTCCATTATAGTAGTTCCCAGCTTATTTTCCATTATGACAGTATTACCCCATCCCTAAACCCTCGGTAACCCCATTATAGTCAACAGCCAATATGTCCAGGAGGCGCAACGCCTGGAGACCCGGCGGCGGCGCCTCGCGGCGCAACTCTTGGCGGCGCGGAGGGCTTTCGGGAAAGGGGGAGAAAAACGAGTAAAGTTCAGGGTAGAGGGTCTTGCGGTTCTAAAGTTTTTTTGGATGGCAAGGAGAGGAAGCTTTTGCCTGGGTCCTCATATAGATTCCTAGAGCTGATTTTGTAAGAAGGAAGCAGTGTTGCAGGTTTAGTTCAAGGTCTCCACTCCAGGGATGGAGGGTTTAATCAGGTCCGTATGTTTGGTTCCCTATGAGGCGAGCCTTAGGCGGGGAAATGCCAATGTGTACTGTAATTTTGCAGGGTAAGCTGCCTCAACTCTGAGGTAGCACCATCTGCGATTTACGGAATGAAGAAGAATTCTTTTCAGCATCTAGGCCACATGAGCTAGTTCCGGTGGGCAGCTGACCAAACCCGATATCACCTTTCAACCTGACCCGTGTATTCAGGCTTGCAGATCTCTTTATTTGACACCGCTGCCTCCCAATAGAAAATTCACCTCTTCAACCCTAAGTTCTAATCCCTAAACCTGATGGCCCTACATCCCAAAAGCGGAAACCCTTTCAGCCGAAGTCCTGTTTAGCATGCCACTCACCTTCAGGGCGCTGCCTACCCTGCAGAGCTCCAGGCTATCGACAGCCACAAGTTCTGATTTAGGCTTTCAATGCATTGGAATTTAGCGGTTAGGGGTTAGGGTTCAAGATTTTGGCTCTGGGGTTCAGGTCTGCAATGTTCAAGATTCCCAACCTTTAGGGATATCTTTAGTAGGGACCGCATCATCAGCCTTTTTCCTCAAAATCCTTGCGATCCCTAAGCGATCCCTCAGCCCATAGTTTGAGTTTGAAACCGACATGTTGCTACAGGTGCAGGAGGCAGCGTTTATTTGTTGAGGTTTGGGTGATTGTACATGTGGTCGTCAGAACATTGGTGAGCGTATATGCCTTGATATGGTAGTTCTCGAGGCTGGACGTTTGGCACATATTCGCCAGATAAGCGAGTCTCAGTAAGCTATATAGAAGATATAATACACGGAATTTTCATAATACCCATCATGCATGAGATATCGAATGTTGAATATTCAATGCTGCCAATTTCTCTCTCTCTCTCTCTCTCTCTCTCTCTCCCTCCCTCTATCTCGCCCTATATAACCCATACCCAATTATAGTAGCTTCCATGATTGTCCATTATCCCAATTTAACCCCTGATAAGCCCTATATAATCCCGATAATCCATGTGGTACAGTAAACCTGAAGCCGTGGGCAGATCTTCGCTCGCTTTGGCGTTCCGCCCAGCATGCGGCGCGAGGCGCAGTGATACAGCAACAGATATCAATAGGGACTCGGGTGGGGGGTTAGAGTTCAGGGCTTCGGAGGCACGGGGAGGTGCAGAGCTTCTCAGGGCGTTCCCAGAAGAGCACGAGACCCAGCCTTCGAAAGAAATTATATGATTGTTGGATGTGTGCAGATTTCCGGAATCGGCACCATGGTCATTCTATACTCCGAGTGTTCGTTGCTAGTCTCCGATGCAGGTCTGGAGCTCAATCATGGGCGTGCGCCCAGCCACGCTTTGAAGGAGAGCTTCGCTGGTTCGCTGGGGGTTTTAAGGGTTTTAAGGGTCCTGACGGGGCCGTTGCATGGGTATTTCTCCAAACTGGGGTCCTTGAAGGTTCATCATGAGTTTCGCGTTGCCATCACTGATCTTGTCACTACAATCGGGGCACGCGGTATTGAAGTTGAGTGTCTGCCATATATCCCTGAAAGATACTGTACTTGATGAGCCCGAGTGCCTGGATGAAGCCCACTTTGAAACCCTTGGCATTCCGTTTGAGTCAGGTATGGACGTGCAAGACCCGATTCCCGCAGACTGTCCTCCTTCGTATATGACTGGCACCCAAGGCCCTAAGCCTAGTAGACTGAATCCCACCTGATCATTCAGATTCTGCAGTGCATGGTGTGGATCAGTTGGAATGTCGAAGCCAACCAGAACCCTGAACCCCAGACTCAGAAGCCCAAACCCCCTGAGGTACATTCCGCTGCTAGGTTTCGGACCCGTAGATAGCAGTGTGTCCACACAGACGGTTGGATCTTGTCACCTTGCAGCATCCTTTTTTCAAGCTTTTGTTCTTGCTAGGTGGCGGAGTCCTCGGGTACAGCAGCGTTGCAGGACCGCCTTGTGTCAAAATGGGGGCCCTTAGGCATCTGGCCTAGGGATAATGGAGAAGGAGATGGAAACTACCATAGTATAATGGGGTGGTTATAGTAGGGATGTGAAACGATGATAAAGCTGTTGCAGGGCTCCCTGCAGGCCTGCTTTGAGAAGTACCGAGAGCTAGGTCGCTGGGGTTAAGAGGAATGTCCCGCCCTCTAGTGATCACTTCCAGAAATGCCCCTACTGGCAAGGCGGGATCCAGTTTCTAAGCATTAGGATGTTTTGACAACCGCATGCAACGATGACAGCACCAAGAGCAGCAGCAACAGCAAGAGCAACCGAAGTAGCAGCAACAGTAGAGATGACTTATTCCATTCCCTTCCTTTTTTCTTCCAGAATCCGCCGTGGTTGCTCTCAGGACGCAGCAAGAGGCATCAACGAGCTTGGACCTCTGACCTTGCATTTGGCATGAGGCACGCAGGCTTACGTAGGATACCTGAAGGGTAGCTGCCAAATTGCGCCAGGCTACTATACTCATGTTTAATGGCTCAAGTATCCAAACAGGAGCGTAGTATGACTTTGGAATCTAGATGCTTCGGAGAAGTTCGGCACGTAACGCACACTGGTAAGGACCCTTGTGGGAACACGCGAGGCGCCGCATGATAGGATGGAGAATGTTTCGCCTCGATGCTGAATCCGAGCCTTGGGGTCCTAGCCTGCAGGCGGTGGTTGGAAACAGGTGTTGCATGTACTATCACTTGGGCAAGCTATTCAAGGTTACAAGTATCACAACCATGGAAGCTCCAATGCTTTGTCTTCCGTATTAGAAGTTCTACCAGCAGGAAAGGCTTTTGAATGCTCAGACGACTGAACAGCACGAATCTTGAGGCATGCAGTATCAGCAATTCCCTCGCAAGCTTGAGAGGCTCGCAACACACAAATTCCAGCACCCTGCAACGGGAGACTTTCCCGGAAAACCTAAAACCTCACGCACTGACGCCTGGACAT